GGCTTGCAGTTTAAAGACATGTGCTTGGTCATTCGTGGCGCTCAAAGCTGCCAAAAGTTGAACAGTTTAATGACGTGCCAAGGTCGTTGGTGGTGACGCATTTGACTTGATCATTGCATTTAAAAAGTAAGGGTTATAGATGCAAAAACATAGTTTTTGATTGCGGATGCAATCTCCTTATCCTCAGTCTTCGGTCAAGATCTCATGCTTCTGTGTTACGGCTGTCGAGTCAGAAATTATGTCATGATATTGTTTGCCTCCACTGAGATTCGACCCTGTGCTCGTTGGGGGTCGAGCGGGACCTGGGAGTGTGTCAGGTGATCTCTGGGAGACTTAAACATCATGGCTTAACCCCTAAGCCACTTGAACGGTGAAGTACTAAGTTCGAATCTCGACCAGTATATGTTTTTTAACATCGATAAGATAAGATTCTATGGGCGCCTAGACACGTGTTTGAAGGTATGACATATTTTGATCGATCGTGATTATATTTGATCCGTCGATCGAGTTATGATAGACTTTCTGATCGATTGTGATCTTGGTTGATGCGTGATCCGTGATGATGTCATACATTTGGTGGCGCTCAAAGCTGCCATAGCGGTGTAGTTTTAATGACTTGCCCAGGTCATTAGTGGCGCTCATAGCTGCCAAATGATAGGATGCCCTTGGTCAGAGGGCTGTTCTAAAAATTGTGTCTTGTACCCAAAAGGTTGCCTATGTCTTTTTAGGATTTTATATAGAATAGCTGCCATGTTTGCATTGTTGTATGCAAGTAGATGCATTCCCCAACGCTGTTCATACTTGTTGGCAATGGTCTCTCGATTGCCCTTTAGGTTGGCATGCTATGTAGGCAAAAGTTGAAAAATGGAAGGTTTGAAAATGTGATCCTTTGGCGCTGCTTGGATCATCCTTGACTTGCTCATGCTCATCTTCGGACATGTGATCCTAATTGCTTCGCGGATCCTTCTCGACTCTTCGAATAGGACATGCGCTCGGTACTTGCTATATATATTTGAGTGCTGCACTTCTTATGCGCACGTCTTCAGATAAGCTCGTACATACTCGCTGTATCCTACATTACCTCCCCCTTGCCAGGTTCCTCCCAGAACCGACGCGGCATGAGCGAGTTAAAACAAGACTGAGGGGCACAAAAGTAAGGGAGGGTGGGTGGGAGAAAAAGCCTTATAACTTTTGGGGAAAAGGTGGTTTAGGCATCCCATAGCAAATAAATTACTAATTGTTGCGCAATATGTAGTAATTCTGAGACCGCTTCTGGGTAAAAGGGTTCCCAATATCCCATTGTGTGTGCCAAAATAACTCTCTAAAAATTGGATTATCTATTGTGGACTGCTAAGTAAAGATCTATTTCCGCCAGCAGTTTACAGTCAAAGACTGTCGTGCTCTTGGAGATCTTATATGTGGACAATCACTGTGTCGATTTGGAGTAGCATGTCTTTAGATATCCGAAATATTTTATTTATATATTTATAGGTGACCAATCCTATACAAATGATATATAAATGATAGGTAATAGTTTAATGTCATTGCGGACGCTGGTTGTCTTATATAAGCGATAACTCATAGTATTTTCGCACATAAGGGGCGATAACTCGTGGTATTTTCGCAAATATTGCCCTCATTGAAAGAAATGTTGGTGGGGCTGCACAAGTATCCAAGATCAAATGTTGCTGCAGCGCTGTCCTGGTGAGGGAGCGGCTTACGCGAGGGTGCCTGCTACCAAGTCTTGAGGTAGGCTGACAGCGGTAGAGGTGATGATGGATGATGTCAAAAAAGGTGCGCCCCACACCTGAGTTTCTCTGGGCTGAAAATGTACCAGCGAATAATTCTAGATATTCTTCACTTGACTAAAAATTAAACAGTTTTATTTAAAGGTGGTCATGTTTAGGACCAAAAAATCACACCAGCAGCAGGAAGCTGGGGGCGTGCATGGAGATTCATTATAATGTCACAAAGCACCAAAGCACTTAACCCAATTAAGGGCAAGTCTGCTTTTGTGACCTGCACAAATGATTCCACATAAAAAGCCTGCCACAAGGGCTAGGCTGAGGACGCGCGCAGTGGTATGCAGTCTGGAAAAGGGGCTCAAAGGGCCCTTGGCCTTATGCTCACAACTAGGGGGTGAATTGGCTTGTTAGGCCGCATGCAATAGAATAATGAATCTAAGGTTCTCCCTTAGATCCTCATGGGCTTATATACATGTAGGGCAGGGCCCCTGGCACTGTGCTACTATGAGACCTCAGATACCTACATGTGAACATATTGCCAGAACCGGTAATGGTTCTGGACTTCGTCATAGCAACTATCTACAATGGCCATGGATACGCCGAGGTAATCCTATCTAATCCAATGAGATAAATGCCTGTAAGTGGGCCCACTGTTGAGGGGCCAATGGGTGATGGCCAACAGAGCACATCACAACGGTTGCAACATCAGATGAGAGGATCTGTCCAAACTCAGAACAATGAGTGTGACGATCAGTCTTCATCTGGATAGGGTTGTGAGAAGATCTAGCCTATCCTGTACCTGGCTATACTGTATGCCAGTTGGTAGGGGGATCCTCTGTTGTGGTATCTGCCTATTGGTTTAGGCAGCAAAGTGGTGCCACTATCTTGAGTGGCGAATTGGGTGCTTGCTAGCTTGATGGTCCAATGGGTTCCTTTCTGGGCAAGTGGCCTGGTGTCACGTGACCAACGCCTGACAACTTCCGAATAGGGCAAGTGGCCAGTGTCACGTGACTAGGTGGCTGAATCATGGGCGCTTGGTGGTCATGTGGTAGACACAGTCATGTCTGTGATGTATGTGGCGACATTATGCTGTTTGTCTAAGTATCCACATTGCGAGACCAATATGAAGGTTGGCGTCCGAATAACCACTCAAATGAGGACTTTAATGGTGCAAAAAGAAAGGTGCCACTTAATACTGTGACACTGGACCATAACATGTGATGTGGGCTATCACCTGATCTCTACGCGTCACGTCTGTGGCTGAGTGGCGTGAGATATTGGTGAAACACGTGATCTGTGGTGTGAGAAAAGTCACGTGCGGACTTTGTGGCGAAAAACTGTGACACGAATGCATCATATAGGAAGAGACCATCAAAAATGTATGGTGATCGGTTTGGAGTCTATTGTTCGGGCATCGATGTAGTTTGGCTTGTGTGTCTGCTGTTGCAGTGTTCGACTTTGTACATGATGGTTTGCATGAAGTGAGTTCAGAAGGAATCTGTACGATGCACTGGCATCTGTTGGATCAATTTTCAGTTGTAAGTGGACAGCTTCGACGCACAGAAAGAACTAGGTACTTATTCGCCGGTGGTCATCATTGTGACTTACCTGCTCTGTGCAGTGAATTGGAATGCATTATTATAGACATGCCATTGAAAGATCTGGTGTGCAGGCTCGATTTTGCATCGCTTGTTTCAGTTGCAACTGCACATGGACTAATTGCTCCTGGGGGTGAGTGGACATCCACAATCGTCATGAACGTGATCACTGCTGACACCATCATCCCCGCATATCCGACTCACATTCAGCAACATCTTGCCTTTTGCTCTCCCACCATCAAAGGTACCCAACTCAGAGTCGCTGCAAAGGGGAAATATCAGGGACGAGAATTCACCTTCTACGATGGGGGCCAATCCTCTTGTCATCGCTGGGGCTGCCCTGACTGGCAACATCTCTTCTTCGACAGCAGTTGTTTGAACCTTGCATTCGATAGCATTCGCATCCAACTCCCTGAACTGGTGTCGATCTTGTGGTGCATGAGCGATTCGCAGTGCAGTGATACATGTATGGTCAGAGCAAAGGGACCCATAGTGTTTGCCAGTTCAGTAGATGAGATAATGGCGGCATTCGACGGTGTATATGAATGGCATTTGCGCATGCCCTGCGACGGGCCTCTGTGTTATTTGGAACCGGCGCCCGGCGCCTCTTCACCCAAGTCTCGTAACCAGACCTCATAGCAGAGTCACATGGGCGTCGGAGTACAGGCGGAGAGCGAAAAACGCCTGCACGGACTCTGCTAAAGAAATTCTGACTGGCTGAGCATTTTACAGCAGACGTATACGCACATTGATCTAGCGCCCGCGACATCAAGCAGACGCAAACACATATATCAAGGCGCTTACCTTCGAATACTGGCATCGTTCAACTGAAGCAAAGTGCACGAAGGGATGCGGACAGATCCCTCTAGGAAATCGTGGTGCGGCAAGGGTGTTAGCCAGCCGGCACCTTCCCGTCTCATGGGCGCAAAGGGAGTGAGAGGCTGGTGAGGCCACAAACG